TTTTTGCTGGGTCTTAGATGGTTAAAGAAAAATAAATAAGGTTGATTATAAAACACTTTTGTTGTTTCAAAACACTAGCTCGCTGTTTATAATAATAATATTTGTATTTATTAAAATACAAATTTGCTATGCATTATTTATAAGTCTAAAGTATTTACTTTAGCCTTATAAATAATGCATAGCAAACAAGATGAATTAGTGTAAGTAATTATATCCTTAATTATAGCACCATTTTTGTTAATTTTATATTCTGTGAGAAGATAGATCTGTTGAATATTTGGTTATATGATGATTATGCAGCAACCAGACAAAACGATGTAGGTTAAGGGGTGTGAATGTAATATTTTGTTATGATTTCGAATACAAAGATCCAACGCAGAAACAATTTCGTCAACCCGGTTGGACTTTAATGTATGCCCATGCTGCGTCGTACCATTGCTCTAACCATCTGAGCGAGGGGTCCAGTTACGAGTTGTCCAAATTCTCGTACGTTTTTTTTGTTACAGACCTTTGTACTGACTTTTTCGGCATTCGTCATCGCTAGATATTCGTCGTCGCGGCAATCATAACAAAACTAGCGGATTATTTCACAAAAAATCTCAATAAATGTTATATTTGTTAAGCGTTTAAAGAAAATAAATAAAAATAAAATAAGTATAAAATAAAACAGGCGTAACAAATTTAGGAGACAGTTGCACTTAAATTACCTAGACAAGAGATTGTGTTTTAGCAGTGTCCAGTTCAGGTCTGTATTGCAAGACATAAATAAGCTGGATGTGTGTTTGAGGAAAGATAACTAACTGCTCAGGCTATTTACTGCTGGCTCATTGTTGAGGACATACAAATAATAATTATATTAATAATTTCATCCGTGCCATTTAAGCCATGGTAGATTAATAGTTTGACCTACCGCCTATCAACCAGAAGCCGTGGGTTCGAGTCGCACGTCTGAGTTTTTTATAATTTAAGTGCGAAATTTAATTTGAAACTTGCCATGAGCTTTTCGGTGAAGGAGAATTTGTGATGAATCCTGTACGTCGAAGAAAGTTCACAATCCTCAGAAAAAAAGGAGACTTCACCCCCAACCCACATTGGGCAAGGGTGGCGGACTTTGGCATAAATCACGCCTGAGAGGAGACCCGTGCGCAGCAGTGGGATGTATATTTATACCCATTTGGGTTAGTGATGATGATAGTTTCATCGAGGCGTGCTGATCCCATGCTGTACCCTAATGTATGATAGTGAGTGTTAGGTATGGAAAAAAAAAAGCATTAAAGTAGGGTGAATGCTGTAGAAATTAGAACTTTTCGCAATATGTGCGGTATTAGTCTTAAAGGGACAGAATGCCGAGTGTAGTAAGAGAGCATTGTGGTATGAAAGGTAATGAAGGGACCAGGCTAGAGATGTTTGATGCTTCGATGGTTTGGTCATGTTGAAAGAATGAGTGTTGGTAGATTGACGGCACAAATTTATAGAGCGAATGTCGATCCCCTATAGACCTCGGCGTACATATCTCAATCAGATTGGGGATGTCCGTCCTTAAAAGTACGAGGAGGCAAAGAAAGTTTGTCAGGGGTGTAGCAGACGCAGGTCCATAGTGGGAGACAGGCGTGATGATATGTATGTAATAACTGTACGTGTAAAAATTTTACAGAATATGTCAGCTGCCCAGCAGGAAAGCTTTTCAAGAGTTTTGTATTGTTATAAAGGATGAACAATAAGTTAAATTCGCGGAAAGAGGTTGGGTTCCATATACAAAATTTTATTTTCAGGAATGATGAATTTTATTTTTTAAATTGTTTGTTATCTAGAAGTGACATTACGAGTTAAAATATGGCCGGATATTTTTTGATAAACCCTGTTCATTTAATTATGGAACTTATATATTGTAACTTGTGTACAAAATGGAAATTATAAATGAGAATGGAACTTGGGACTTTGAATACATATTATATTTATCGCGAATTTAGATAGCACTTTTCATCATCCGCCTTACCTTCAAACTAATTAGCTACCTTGGTCGCCTAACGGTTAACATTGTGAGCGCTGAATGCGGGGATCGTCACCCGGCAAGACCAATTTGGGAAATGAACTTTTCTCAATTGGTTCTGATCTGGATGTTCTGGAAAAGGCCCCAGAAATCCGTCGCTCTGGTACTCATAGTACAGGGAATGCCCTAGTTTTCGACCAGGCAATTGGTGTAGTTGTCAGGCATATATCAATAGAATTAAGAGTGTTATCGCATGAGCTGTATTCTAATAGCATTGTAGCTTAGCCTTAGTGAAATGAGAATGCAGAAGGCTCGATCCACAAGATTTATTTTGATGATGAAATAGGGAAAGAAAGGCAGTAACAAATAATAAAATGATATTAAAAAGGTGTAATTATTATTTAACACTCCCTATAAAACTAAATAACACAATACACAATACTCATCCCAAAAACGCCTATATAAGTATAATTTAATAGTAATCGACGAGAAGTTTAACAATAAGAAAATGAACGGATTTGTGATTTATGGGCACGTCATCTCGTTTTTCAGGATTTTGATGGGTGTGCCAATGGATAGGACCACAGACATTATAATCTAGATAGACGCCGCAAGTGTACGTACTTCGCGTGCCTCAAGTAAGTGAAATTCACTTATTTGCCACTGCTACGCTTCAGAACGCGCTCGATCGTTATCGTAGATAGATAAACACCAGTCGAAAGCGCGAAAAATGCATAATTGTGCCATTATACTCTGCAAAAGCGCTGTGATGTAAGCATAACTGTGAGAAAACGGGTAAGCAGAGACGTTTCCTTCCACAGGCAAGTGATTTTGTAACCAGAAGATGCATAATTTATTTTAAAAACAATTATTTTGGTTTTGTGCGTATTTCGAGGAAACAATTATGCAACCGAGTGTATGCCTCATGTTTGTAATACATTGCGGCTTTTACTTGGTGAGATGCATTTGTGAGCCTTTGTTAATACGCCTTGAATATCGAACGAACGCAGTTTTGTATAATGTATTTAGTTTCGTGGTACGGCCGTTTGTACATTTCTTTGGCCAAATTTAACATTTGGTGATGTTGATGATGTGGTGATAAGGTATACCTTAGGCAACACTGTTCTCGATTCTAATCGATTTTGAAAACAAAGGGACGAAAATTATTATGATTTTAGCAATATTATAAAAATATTCCATAACTCTTTTGTTTAGTTTTTTTTCCAGTTTTGTAGTATCGATTATCAGTAATATCTATAATTTTGATAATTTTTCTTTTTTTCTTTCTTTCTTTCTTTCTTTCTTTCTTTCAAATAATTACATACATCGCCGGATATATAGTAAGAGTTATACAAAAAATATATAATGCAAAGAATTAACAGTGCGCTGTCTTTACAAAAATCTGGAGTTGGTCATACGTATGAGTTCGTTGCTTTCGAGGACGAAGGTTAATCTACCTGAGATGCTATCTAAATACGCAGAGAACAAATCACGAAATTTCACATGAGGCCGTCGTTCAGTAAACCTCTTCTGATTAATAAGATTTTACCATATTTTGTCAGCAGTAACATTTTCATTTGTCTTGCCATTAATCAATTTGCTCAATTATCAACAGAAAACTAGACTAGAATTAATTAAGACAGTTGGAAGTTCATATATTGACGTGCGTTTCCATTATTTAAATTAATCGATAAGATCTTCTACTGTTACTGATGCAACGGTGCGGACAGCGGTATGGAAGAGCAAAGTTGCACTAAAGGGTACAAAGGTCACTCTCTCCGAATTCCTCACGAAGTCCCGTCATGACGTTTTTGTAGCTGCGAGGCTAAAGTTTGGTGTTACAAATTGCTGGACCTTGGACGGAACGATTCATGTCAAGACACCGGATGGCAGAAGACACAGGTTGGAGACAATGTCTGGATTTCTTGCTATTTCTCCAAGTACCGCGGAAAACAAAATATAGGACCCTCATTTTTAGTTTAAATTTTTCTTTTATTCTCGGGGTACCTACTTAATTTTTAACTTTTTATTAATGCAACTTTTAAGTGGTTCCGTTCGTTCATTAAGTTTTGGTTTACGTCAACTGTCACTAGCATCTTTTTTTGTACAAATTTAACGGCTTTGGCATAAAGCCCTTGTCTAACAGTGATAACGAAAATGTGACAAATTCTGTGATCCATTTCGATTGTATTGTTACTTTTTATTGTTTTATTTTTCAAACCTAGTACTTATTATTTTGTATTTGTTGTTTTTTTTTATATTTGTTAATTTTGACATTCTAAGCGATTCTCTTTCACACTGCTGGTGGGTATTATGGATATTTTTGGTTTTATTTTTATATTTTCATTGTGTTCATATTTTCTTTTATTATTATTATTATTATTATTTTATATATTATTATTATATTATAACTATATATTGCTGTATTTATATAGGTACATATTTTATTATATTTAATGTTGCAAACTAATGATAATAATGGTAACGATTTTTTGAGTGATGAGTCGGATTTTCTTTCGGTGTCTTCGCATAGTAGTTTTCACAGTTTGTCACAACCGTTAGATGAACTTCTGGAATCTAACTTTTCCACTGTTGCGAAAAATTTTAATGCAGTCCATATAAATGCCCAAAGTATTACACTGATTTGGTGAGCACTTTCTCTAATAGCCAGAACATTAACGCCATCTTGGTTTCGGAAACTTTTTTAAAACCATGTCTCCCTTCTTCTTCCTATTCCCTTCCTGGTTTCCATCTCATTCGTAATGACAGGACTGGCAAGGGTGGCGGAGGAGTTGCTATATATCTTAGGAGTAATCTTCCTTTCAGTATTCTTGACAAATCCCCCTCTCTTTATTCTGAATCTTAGGAACATCTTTTTGTGGAGGTGCTTTTGGGCCATCAGAAGCTCCTTTTGGGAGTTTTTTATAGTCCAAACCTACATATTGATTATTTCAGTAAATTTGAGACTTTGTTGGAAGATTTGGTACCCACGGTTGATCATACAGTTATTATGGGTGATTTTAACACCTGTCTGTTCAAACACGACTCCCGTTCTACTCGACTTCGCTCAATCGTGGATTCTATTAATCTGAACATTCTTCCGTCTTCCTCAACACATCACTTTCCTGACTGCCAGCCATCTTTGTTGGACTTTGCCATTGTCTCTTCTACTAGTCATGTAACTGCTCACGGTCAACTTCCGGCCGAGGCCTTCTCCTATCATGACCTTATTTACCTTTCGTACAGAATCCGTTGTCCGAAGCCTAAACCACGAGTGGTCATGCAGCGCAGTTTCAGAAACTTTGATGAGGAAAGATTTATGCTTGACCTTAACGGTATTATTGACTGGGACGCTGTACTTAGAGCCCCTACTATAGATCAGAAGATGGAAATTTTCAACTCGATACTAATACAGCTATATGATATACATGCTCCACTCCGTCCTGTTCGATTGAAACATCTTCCTGCCCCTTGGCTCACTGCAGAAATTAGGGCATTGATGAACAAGCGCAATCTTGCTAAGGTGCGGTATAGAAACGATCCTTCAGATGAAACCCACCGTAGATTTAAGGAACTTCGCAACCGCTGTAGCAGGGTGTGCAGGGATGCGCAGCGCCGTCACATACATGCCTCGGTTTCTAATGGTGATCCTGCTAAGGTATGGTCTTTCCTAAATTCCCTTGGTATTGGCAAATCAAAATCTCCTACTCCCTTTAATCTTGACCTTAACTCCTTGAACTCGCATTTCACAACGCCTTCCTCTCTTTCTTCTAGTATCAAGCAATCTACGCTACAGTCACTTTCTACCGCCCATGACTCAGAACATCCGGTTTTCTCCTTTAGGCCTGTGTCCGAGAGTGAAATTGAGAAAAACATCTTGGCCATAAAATCCAATGCTGAAGGACTGGATGGAATAAACCGTAGGATGATGTTACATGGTTCTTCTATTCTGGTTCCTATACTTTGCCATATTTTCAACTTTTCTCTTGACACTGGCACTTTCCCGTCATGTTGGCGTCAGGCTGCTGTAGTCCCTGTTCCTAAAACCTCTAATCCATCTTTACCCTCTCATTTTCGTCCTATTTCTATTCTTCCGTTCCTTTCCAAAGTTCTTGAGCGTCTTGTCCATAATCAGATCACAATTTTCATGAACTTCAATAATATCCTTAGCCCTTTCCAGTCTGGTTTCCGTTAGGGACATAGCACTGTGTCTGCCTTGACCAAGGTGTCTGACGACATTCGCGAAGGTATGTCGTCTCAGCATCTCACAGTATTAGTTCTTTTAGACTTCAGCAATTCCTTCAACACTGTTGACTTCGACATCCTTTTAGCAATGTTAAAATCTATCCTGGTATCAGATTCGGTTGTGGAGTGGTTTCACCACTATCTCGTTGGGCGAAGGCAATGTGTACAAGTCGATAACAAGCATTCTACCTTCTGTGATGTTACTGCTGGTGTGCCTCAGGGTGGGGTCCTCTCTCCTCTTCTTTTTTCAATATTTATTAACTCCCTTACTCCCTTGCTTTCTTGTCAGTATCATTTGTATGCTGACGATCTTCAGATCTATTCCCGGTCTCCTGTGCATGGTTTAGATAGTTTAATTGCTGAACTTAATGACGACCTTGCGACAATACACAATTGGAGTCGAACCCATGGCCTTACAGTCAATCCCAACAAGTCGCAAGCCATCGTCATTGGTGACTCGAAGCAGATAGCTAAGATAAATTACACGTCTGTTCCCTCGCTCGTCTTTGACTCCTTCCCTTTACCTTTCAGCAGTGTTGTCAAAAACCTTGGCGTTCTCTTTGACTCCACCCTGTCTTGGGCGCCACATATCGCTGAGGTTAGTAGAAAGGTGTTTGCTGCCTCCGATTCATTGCGACGGTGGAAAAATCTGATTCCTGTGAAGACCAAGATTGAACTCGCGCAATCGCTGCTCCTACCTATTATAGATTATGCTGATGTCTGTGTTATTGACCTCAATGAGGATCTATTAGGCAAGCTCCAACGTCTGCAGAATCTTTGCATCAGATTCCTATACGGGTTGCGCAAGTTCGATCATGTGTTTGAGTATAGGAGAAGGCTTCAGTGGCATTCTATCAAGCAGCGCCGTGAGGAGCACGTTCTCAGTTTCCTTTATAATGTACTGTATGACCCTCGAAGCCCACCTTACCTTAAGGAACGTTTTCGTTTTCTCGGTGAAGATCACAATCGCGAACTAAGGTCCAAGGCGGATAACTTGCTGAAGCCTCCCTTCACCCGGTCAGGATACTACATGAACTCCTTTACGATTATGGCTGCACAATTGTGGAACGAACTTCCGTCTGAAATACGACATTCAAAGTCGCTTCTTATTTTTAAAACTGCATTGCGTAACTATCTTCTGAAACGTTCCTAGTATGCAACATGTATTTATATATTTATTGGTAAGTATAAGTATATTTAGGTATATATATTTCTTTATTATTTACAAATATATATGTAAGTCTAGTACACCGTTATTTATTTATTTATTATTCGATACATATATATATATTATACTACTTATACGTTTCTGACTTTGGCACACTACCTCTTCTCCTTAGATTAGCTTTCCTATACCTCAAAGGTTGTCTGGAAGAGATCGCTCTTAGCGATAAGACCGCCTTTGCCCACATTAGTTTTAAGTTGTCTATGTACTGTTTTTGTTATTGTATGTGAGCAATAAAGTGTATATCTATCTATCTATCTATCTTCTATTACAAGATGTTATATAATAAGCTCATTTTATTGGAAGGATGATAATTTTAATACTTGAAGTCGCTTAAAAATTAGTCTCAATTTTTTTAAGTAATCAACATTTAAAAAAAAGTCAAATAAATTACTTAACTATCTTATTCTAGTATTTTTCTTCTATATTAATATTACGACTACTTGCAATCAACAAATACTTGAACAAAAAATAATAGGGGTTAAAGTATGAAATTGCCGATTTGTACTGAAAATC